GAGCATTTTCTTCTGCTCTAAGTGAATGGAGGAAGAATCTTGATGCCACAACTCCTGTGGCTCCAAAGCCTCCAGTGACACGGTCTTGTGGCTGCTTATCCTCCAGAGCCATAATCGTCCCCCTCCCTCCCTTTTCCTGCAGTGCTATTTTGGGGCTGCCATGGGGGTGGGTGTTAGAGTCACAGAGTGAGGCCAGCAGCTCCATTTGTCAGAATGCACTCTGCAAAACCTGTCGTGTGGTCCCCGAGACCCACAGATGTGCTCGTTCTTCACAGTAACAAAAAGCTGGAAACTTACTAAATATCCACCTGTAGGAGAATGACTAAATAAAACATAGTATCCCCTATGGGGAATAGCTAAACCACCAATCCCAGTAGTAAAGTCACACAGTATGTAGTGACATGGGAAGACAGCCATGATGTAGTATTAAGAGGAAAGAAAAAAGTACCTACCCTTGTTAAAATATTTTGTGTGCTTATCATGTGGCTATTAAAAATTAAATAAAGTTACAATTCAGTTCCTCACTTGCACTAGGCACATTTCAGTGGCCACGTGTGGCCAGTGGCTACAGCACTGGACAACACAGGGATAGGACGGCGCTGCCATCCCAGGGTAGAGTTTTTCTGCAGTATGGTGTGACCAGGAGGCCTTTCTGTCTGTATTGCAGATTTGGGTGAATGTCTGCATTTTTTATAGAAATAAGCATATATGCTATTATCTAAAACATAGGAATATCTGGGGTTTCCAAGGTAACCATTTTATTTTTAAGCTGATGAAATAGTTGAAAATGTACGGTGCGTCTGTGTGTGTGTGTGTGTGTGTGGTACTGGAATTTGAACTCAGGACCTCATGCTTGCTAGGCAGGTACTCTACCACTTGAGCCACTGTGCCAGCCCTTTTTGTGTTGGGTATTTTTGAGATAGGGTCTTAGAAACTATTCACTCAGGGCTGTCTTTGAGCCATGATTCTCCTGATCTCTTGCCTCCTGAGTAGGATTACAGACGTGAGCCACCGGCGCTTGGCTAAAATGTACGTTTGTGTGTGTACATACTTTTCAAGGATGATTCGTAATGAAAATATAGTGAAATATACAAGGAAAAAAAATGAAAAGAATTGCCCAGCAGGCAATTTGGTGAGCCAGGCCTGAGGGTACAGCCTCTGTGTCAGGTGCAGGTCCTAGCAGATCCGAGTGGTGGTCTAACAGCTCTCCAGCCTGGGCCCAGTCACCCACCTGCTGCTTGACCCTCAGTTTCCTGGTTTGTATCTGGGTCCCTGCCCGTCTTGTAGGATTGGGGTTAGATTTAGAAGCACGTGTACACTAGGAGTGTGCTACCTAGACATGAAGGTTTTAGTAAATGAAGCCAGTGACTGAAGCTTGGAGTGGCAAAGCCTCTGTGTGCTGTGACGGCCTGGTCTGCTCTGGAGTGGAAGTTTTCCACATCCTGCAGAGATCACCAGAAGTAGATGTAAGTGTTGCTGTTTCCCCACTGCAGTCATGGCTGAACCATCTAGAAACAAAAACAGCAATGTTACTTTACTTATGTAGCCAAAGTTCGTGTTGGTTTGTTATTTGCCAGGTACCATTTGAAATGCTTTACAAAAAGTTACTCATTTAATCCTCCTATGACCCAGGTAGTCTCAGTTAGCATGCTCATTTCCTGTGGAAGACAATCAAGGCTCAGAGAGGTCAAGTAACTTGCCCAAGGTCACACAGCTAGTGAGGGCTGGTTTGTAACTCCAGCAGTTGTGCTTTTTCTTGTTATCTTTTCTCCCCACCACTCCTCTTGTCCCCATGAGATATGGCTACAGACTTGCTTAAGTTTTGGTATGATATCTGTGACTGATGTTCCTGACTAGCTTTGATTCTGGTTTTCTGGTTGAGTTTGGCATCATGGCAAAGTGGGAATAAACTGCGGAATTTGACAGGCAACATTTGTAGCTTAGTTTGTTACTTACCCTCTCTGATTTCACTTGACATTTCGTGAGAGTTGAATAAGTTTGCCTGTTGTGACAGTACAGACAGCTGATGCCTTACTAACTCCTACTTCTTCCTTCACATTTTTCTTAAGCATCTTTGAAGCAGTGAGCTCAAGCTAGAGGCCTCAGACATGAATAACCCCATGCTGGTCTTCAAGGAGCTTACACTCGGGCCTCCATGCGGGTTGGGGAACTTTCTAGATTAGGAATCAGGGACCCTGAGTTCCACCCTGTCCTGGCTGTCTCCCACCTCAGAGACTTTGGACAAGTTTCTTTGCTTCTTTGCCTCACTTTTGTCACCTGAAAGTGAGGCCTGGATGGACTCCACCCTGAGGCCTCGTCTGTCTCCTTATTTTCTGACTTGATGTGTTTAGGTCGGGACAAATTGATGCCCGAGGGGCCAGAGGCACAAACACCAAAGCAGGTGACACAGGGTATGCCAGCTTTCTCTCTAGGCCATTCTCATCAGGACCCCCAGTAGCCTCCTCCTGTGGTCCTCGGGAGGCCCCTTGGCTCTGTCTACAGCTGGAGGCAGAGGGGCCAACGGCTCCCTCCAGCCTGTCAGGGGCAGAGTTTGGAGGTGCACAGTGAGTCAGAGGCAGTGCCTCGCTGTGCATGTTGCTCTTGACTTGCAAGTGTGGGCACTGCCATCGTTGTCCTAGTGGCTGAACAGTCCCCTGTTGAGGCTGTGATGTGCACGGAGGCCTGTGTGCTTTACTGATGCTCAGATGGCCTGGACCAGAGGCCTAGGAATGGCTGAGCAGGGGAGGGAGCAGGAGCACCCCCAGGTCCTCCTGGAAAAGCAGGGGACGAATACCCGGGACAATGCATTTTGCTTCCCTGTGCTAGTGCCACAGAGTGGGAGGCAGCTCATAAAGATTCTCCTGGAGGGAGTTAATCTCCTGTAATTACACAGATGAGCCACACTTCACAGCCTCTTTAAAAGAGGACAGTGACATGGATCCTGACTTAACAGAGCAACCTTTATGGCAAGTGAAACCCCGGAGCCAGCCAGTGTAAGGACCCTGGCCGGGGGGACATGGCATTATCTCATCTGCTCCTCACTCACGGTGCATAAATCTTTTCAAAATCTAGCACTTGCGAAGTGATTGAGACTGTCTCTGAAGCTTTACAGGCCTATTACGACTTCCCCAGCATTCATGGATAAATTTTAGGGACTATTAACTCACTCTGAAACTGTAAGAGAAAATGGTACACAAGTCTGCTTTCCTTAAAGAAAAAAGTTACCCGGTGGGACAAGCCATTCCTTTCTGACCTCCATGTTGTGAGTCGGTTGTCACTGTGCCTACTACCCACAGACAGTCACCAGCACCTCAGTGTCCTCCCAGTGGCTGTGTTGCTGCTGTGTTCCCAACACAGCTGTGTTTGGCACCTTGGTTCCTCCTGCAAGCAATACATCTAGGGCTACTAAACTTTCTCCCCCTGCCAACCTGTGGGCTGATGCTTCTTGCTGGACTCTCTCTTTTCCTTTCATCATTGGTTTCTGGGATAGTAGAGTTAGCAGAGTGGAGCATGCCTGTAATTCTAGCGCTTGGGAGACTGAAGCAGGAAGATCATGAGTTTGGGTCAGCCTAGGCTACATAGCAAGCCCTTGTTTCAAAATCAATAAATAAAATAAAATTTAAAAAGAGAAGATAAAATTAATGGAGAAAAAAATGAATCCAAACAGGTGAACAGTGTGTAATGATCTGTAAGACGACATCTAATAGCCAAAATATACATGTAATTGGAGTAATAGAAAAGTAGTTAAAAAAAGTGAGACTGAAATGATATGTCCAAAGGATGGAGGAGAGAAAGAAGCTCTTCTGAAGGGACCTAGCCAGCCCTTGAGGACTTTGGGTTGGCCATTCTGCTGGACATGTCACTTGACCTTAGACACGAGATCCACAGTCCTGTGAGGTTGGTGCTAAGTAAGAGGACTTGAGAGTTTGTGTCCAAAGTCACACAACCCAGGAGTGGCCGAGTCATAACTTGAACCCAGGTTCCCTCCAATGCACTGCCTTTACCCACACTCCCATAAAGTCTCTCATGACCCACACTCCCATAAAGTCTCTCACTCCCATAAAGGTGGCAACCTTGCAGGGTGAGTTGGATTTAGATATAAGCAAAGAGCAGAAGGAAGAGAATTCTGGAAGAAGGGGCGTGATAGATAGGATCAGAAGCCCAGGAAGGGGATTGAGTATTCATGAAACGGCCTGGGGAGGGACTGTAGGCCGGCACATGGTCCCAGTGCCCAAGTGCCTGGAGCACGTAGGTGCTAAATGACTATTTCTTGCATGAATCAGGTCGTGAATTGTTTCCCATAGACTGTAAGCCTCTGGAGAGCAGGGCCTGGACCTCAGATACCTCTGTGTGCTCCACATCTTACAGTGGCTAGTAAACTGGAGACACTCAATAACTATGACCTGATGGAGTGAATGAGTGAGTGACAGGTAAGGGGCAGGGAGGAGATATGCCTGTTGCTTTGGGAAGTACTGAGACTCATTCATGGACCAGCAGGATGCACTGGGGAAGGTCTTTGATACCAGGGCAAGGAGCCATTGTTGTCTCCTTCAGGCACTTAAAAAGCTGTCTCCTTGAGCTGGGGGTATAGCTCTGATATGCCCTGGATTTGATCCTAAGCACTACTTAGGAAACAAAACTGCAATAAAAACAACAACAACAAAGCCATTGCTTAAAGCACAACACTGTGGGTCTACAGAAACCCAGGCAATGCCAGGCTGGTGGATGTGCACAGGAACAAGAATCAAGGACAGCTTAGAGATCAAGTTTTGTGGCACTGGCTTCTGTCTGGCCTGGTAGTCTCTGGTTTTCCACTCTGAGGTGACCACATTGTTAAAAACAAAAAGAGACCTGTGAAAATTTGTAAAGGGAAGCCAAGAGCAATCGAGCTCTTGCTGTCTCTGAGTTATTTTTATGATAGTTTGGTCCTGGCCAACTTTCTTTATGATGGGGCCTCCTCTGCTCAGGAGTTCTCAATAAAGGCTGCTCTCTCTTTTTAGGTGTTGGATAAACGTGTGGTTTTAAGCAAGCCTGAGGGCCAGGAGGCAGCTCTGGGAGGAGCCCTTTCTGTGGGCAGCCAGAACCTTCTGGTCATAGAGGCAAAGCTGAGCCGTTACCTGGACTTATGACCCGTGGCCTCGCTCCACTCCTGCCCATCGAGTTCCACAAGATGGGCTCCTTCCGCAGGCCCAGACCACGCTTCATGAGTTCCCCAGTGCTCAGTGATCTGCCCAGGTTCCAAGCCACCCGGCAGGCTCTGCAGCTGAGCTCCAACTCTGCCTGGAACAGGTAAAGAGGTGGAGGGGGGTGGACTAGAGGGCTTCTAAGGCTAAGGCATGGCCAGGGAGCATCTGGTGACTATCTCAGTGTCTGTGTGCTGCTTCTGGGGTGTCTGCTCTGGAAGGTCATGATGATAGAGACAAATGATGGAGAGAGCAAATTTTCTGACATCTGTCGTGTCTGTTAGTGTTCCTTGTTTTCATAGTGAGAAAGCTATTTGAGTGAGAGCACAGGCCTATCAGGCAGTTAACCTGTCAGGGACAGTGGGGTTGTAATTTACTGTTACTGCTCGTGTTCCTTAGTCGCTCCCAAGTGTGCAAGGGTGGATCATATAAGTGACCTCAAGTAATCTGCTTCCCCTCTGGGAACATTTGACATGTTATCTGCAAAAAGCTCAGTGGTGTCAGCTAAAGATCTTCAGTCCCTGGGAACCACAGGCACTTGGGAGAGGAGACAGTGGCAGTTTTGGGGGGTGTTTATCTGATCTTACATATCAAGCCCTGAGCAGACTGAATCCGTATTGTCTTACGCCTATGTGGGCAACTACCTTCCAAATTTATGCAGGTACTTTTGGGATAATTTAATTGCGTCTTGCTTTTAATGAGTTACTGAATTCTTTATAGTTTGGGTCCTTACAGAAGTTTTTGAGCATGGACACAGAAATCACAGCTCTGCTGATGGGGATGAAGAGGCCTCTGAGATGTTTCGGTGTTGGGTGGATCCTTGTTCTTTACAAAAGGCCAAGACAAGCTTGTAATCAGCTCCATTGTGGTCATTTTGGGCTGGAGTTCTGAGAATGTGGAGTGAAGCCCTAACTGTGGCCCCTTAAGGGACTCAGCCTGCACACATCCTGGGGTGGGAGTCAAAGGCCCCAGGGAGGCTCTCCTGCTTACAGGAAAGGCTATATTTGAAAGGCGAGGAATTATCAATTGCAATTACCCCAGGTCTCCAACCCACCCTAGGAAGATAGTGGCCTTCCAGCTAAAGGAACCCAAGCAGGGTCAGGTCCTGCTTCCTGACAAGGCCACTTTGAATGCTCCCAGGCCAATGGTGCTGGCCACACAATTTCCTGAGAGTAGATCCTGCTACCTGCCCTTTGTTGTGGCTGCTCAGCGTGGGCTGCCACTGAGGCGAAGGTGGAAGCCTCAGGTGGCCTGCAAGAGAGTTTGTGCCATGTTTGTGCCATGGCTTCCAGGCTCTTCCCACCCGCCTTCGCCCTGATCTATTTGTGGAAACAGCCCTGGAAGCAGATCATCTGACCCTGTGTTGTTTCTCTACAGTGTCCAGACGGCTGTGATCAATGTTTTCAAAGGGGGCGGATTACAAAGCAATGAGCTCTATGCACTGAATGAAAATATCAGGTATGTCACAGGCCAGGCCAGCACGGGTCCCCTGTGCTGAGCCACAGGGCTACTGCTCCAGAAGCCTTCAGTTACGGTTTTTGTTGTTTGTTTTGCTTTGTTTTCTTTGCTTTGTTTTCCTGCTTTGTTCTTGCTGCCTGTCGAGTTCTAAAACCTTCATCTATCTAGGCTTCTGGCCCTGAGTGAATTCACCCATTTGTTTGTGTTTTAGGGGGTGTAGGGATAGAGGTAGCTGTCATTTATTGTGCTCTGCTTAATTTGTTAGGCACTGTATTAGGCAATATGACTTAGTGGTTAGAACCAAAGACCCTGGAATTTATTGCTGTCCTTCCTTTTAGTAAGAGACTTACCAAGAAATATTGAGTACCTCCCTGTTGGTCAGGCACTACAGAGACAACCAGGAGCAAAGACAGATGTGGAACCTACTCTCCTGGAATTTATATCAGTTCAGGAGATAATCATTAGTCAATTAATCATATCTGTAAGAGTGCTATAACACAGCTGATGTGATGATGGACATCTCTTGCCAAGGAGACCAGGGGCAAAGGAGGTGATGCTTGTGTTATGATCTTAGGGACAGTGAGGATTCACCAGGTAAAGAAGGCTCCAGGAAATGGTAACTGCAGGTGCAAAGGTCCTGTGGTTGCAGTGGAACTGACAGAAGGCTCATGTGCATGGAACATCAGAGGTTGGGTAGTGGTTGGGTTTGTGTCTTGGTAAAATGAAGGCAGAGAGTTGGGCAGGACTCAGAGCACCAGTGTCTGCTAGGTAAAGGAGGTTAAACAGCCAGTGTTCCAGTGCCTTTGTGTATTTTCCTCTCTGGGTATGTTAAGTGCAAGACCCAACCCTGAAGTGGGCAGAACAATAAACAAAGCCATTTTCGGGTCCTGTTTCTACTGAGTTAAGGCTTGTGTTGAGGTCGGGGGAATGTTTTAAGAGCTCTTCTTTCATTAACACCTTTAAAGCTCATAAGTAAACAGAGTTATGTTAAATTTCTATGGGTGTACTTGAATTTCACATCATAGTTGCATAAATATGGAAAGAGACAAAAGGATTGTCCAGGCAGAGGCATCATTTCACAGGGAGGAAACTGAGATCCCAAAAACATGCGTGTCAGGGGCAAAGCTAGGTCACCAACCCCCAAGTTGCAAAAGCTCAGTTTTACTCCAAGAACTGAGGTCCTGGCCTTTCCACTAGGTTCTTTAGCTCCCAGTAGAAGTGTAAATAAATAAAAAGGTGACTCCAGAATGTGCTAATTGTTCCTTGCTTCGGGACATGGATCCTGAAATTGTACTTAAAATCTGTTTGTGGACAGCTAGAAACAGACAGTCTGAGCCTGACTTCACCAGCTCCACTAGCCCTGGGTGCTGACTGTGAAGTGAGCAGCCCTCAGGGGCTGAGCAAGTTTTCTTTCTTTTTTTTTTTTTTGAGGTACTGGGGCTTGAACTCAGGACCTACACCTTGAGCCACTCCACCAGCCCCCTTTGTGTTAGGTATTTTCGAGATAGGGTCTTGTGAATTATTTCCCGAGGCTGGCTTCAAACCGGGATACTCCTAATCTCTGCTTCCTGAGTAGCTAGGATTACAGGCATGAGCCGCCAATGCCCAGCCAAAGCAGGTTTTCTAAGTGACAAAGCTGGCATGGCGACAAGCTCCTGGCCTTTGTCAAAAGGGGAATTATTCTGCCAGAACACAGTTCCAGTGACAGATCTTATTTCTCAAGAAGAACTAGAAATTGTGATTTTGATGTGAAATTTTCTGACTTTTAAATGTTTGTAAAGAATCCAGATTTCCCCAAACATTGATGCAAGCCAAATAAAACAGATCTGGTCTGTGAGTGTGCCCAACAAGCTACCTATTACCAAGAGGGCCCATAGTGTAGCATCGCCTGTGTAAAGAGGCATTACTGCTGGAGGGTTTTGCATCCCCGACAGCGCTAGGCACCTCACCTATCCCAGCACATCCAGCCTCCTCACAGGCCTTTGTTATGAATAGTTTACACAGGAGAGAATTGTGGATAAGAGAAACTAAATAGGTTGCCCGAGGTCACACAGCTGGAAGGATGTAGTCAGGATTTGAACTCTTGCCTCACATAGACAACTTTATTTTTCTGCTCAGGCTGCCACCACAAACATCTTAACAAACACTGGGTGGCTTAAACAGCAGAAGTTTATTTCTCATTGTTCTGAAGACTGGGCAATCCAAGATCAATCAAGGTGCTTGATATTCATTTCTGGCCCACTTTCTGTCTTGTGGGTGGTTACCATCTCACTGAGTACTCACATGATCTCTTCTTTATATGTTGGAGGTGAGGAGAGGAGCTCTTTGGAGAGGACTCTAGTCCATCTTGAGGAGCCTGCTCAAATCACCTCCTCTTAACCTAATCGCCTTCCAAAAGCCCCATTTCCAAATGCCATCCCATTGAAGGGAAGAGCTTTGACATGGGAACTTGGGGGGACATAATTCAGTTCATGGTAAACACCCTTGCTCTTCGTACCATGCCGTGTCAGTGGGAGAAGTCCTTTCTTGGGAGGATGGTTAAGCTGATGGTTTCTGATCTTTCTGTCTGGCATAGTTCCTTTCATGGAGCCTCTGTGAGCCCATCTCTTATAGCCTGCTGATTCTAACACCCCACTGAGGAGCGACACTTCTCCACATCTTTCTGGTGTTGGGGATGCCCCTAGATGTTCCTCTCTGTTTTCAGTGATTTTTCAGACTGGTGGGAACCACAAATGGTTGGGGTTTAAAATTACCTGCTCAGGTGCAAATTGAGCCCAGACTAAGTCATGGCTTTCAGAACCCAGAACTTGAACTGCCCTTGTTTCTGAACCTTCCATCCCTGGCCTCTCTAAGAGAGTGGCTGGAGTGTAGACAGGCCTTCACATCACAGAGGCTTGAGGTACCACTGGGAACAAGACATGTGTCCCAGCCCATATATGTGACATGGGTGTCTCAGGGTGTGTAAAGCAAGCCTACCACATCTGCAGGTGCCTCTGTAGAAATGAACTCAGTTATCCTACTGAGGACCTGAAACCCTGAAAGAGACAAGTTGTCCTTGGACCATATTCTAATAGGCACTTGAGTTTTGAATCTCCCTTTCTTTTTCCTCTTGAAGACCTTTTTTGCAGAAGAGATCCATAAACTCAGCAGGCTGAGGCATGAGTGTGGAGGGCACAGGATGGTGGGGATGTCCGTGTGAAAGAAGATGTGGAAGGCGAGAAGGCTAAGTTGCCAAGCTGATTTTTTTTCAGTCAGTTGTAACTGTCCTACTATGTGCCAGTAGAATGTTTTGACTTAAGAGAGTAGTTTTTGGATTCAGACTGCTTGAGTCTTGTGAGCTTGGGTGAGTGGCCAAATTTTCCTAAGTCTGATTTTTCTTTTATAAAATGAGAGTGATAATCCTTCCAGTGGTTGGAAGGATTGAGATAATGCTAAAGAGTCCTTAGTATGATAATATTAGTCTTACCATTTTTATTAGGAACACTTAGTGATAAGTGATCTGAATGGGAGCACAGCAGAGGTAACTGGTTGTCCCATGGAAGGTTTTGCTTAAAGATTTCTCCAGGATTTGGATGAGTTGAAGTCCTTTTTAATAGGTGCCTCAAAGACTGTGCTTGGAATTGAAGTTTGAGTGAAGCTGAGTTCTTACAAGGAGAGCCAGTTGTTTTTTCTTTCTGCAGAGACAAGAACAAGAAGAAATGACTCTCTAAAGAAACAATGAGAGGGGAAAACTAATAAAAAAAAAAAAAAGAAATGACTCTCTCAGTTCTCCATTCTTCTCAAGCCAAATGGTAATAAACTTTTTGATGGGTTGTCCAAGTCCAGTGTGAAAGCCTGAAAAAAATCTTCCTGGGTCACTCATCCCAGGCCCTCTTTCTACTGTGAATTTAGGAAGTGCCTGGAAAATGTGAAAGTATATAAATCTTAGCCAATGCAAAGGATGCCAGGAAGGTGAATGTCTTATATAAGTGGGTCCTATAATGCAGTCATCATAAAAATTGGCCTTTTCTCTTAAGATGCATTACTGAGAATGAACTCTAGTTTGTATTTTAACAGATAGCCATTGAAGTCAGTAGGAAGAAGAACTTAGGACTGCAGGTAGTTAAGTTTGAATTTAGAGACAAGTGTTTCCATATTTTAAGAATAAATCCATCAGAAACAGAGTGGCCAATTTTCTTGAAATAATAGTTAAGGCTCATGGTCTGTTGATATGAAAACTCTAAATCAGAATGTTTTCTGTTGAAAGTACCTTAAGGAGGCAGAGCTCGAAGGAGGCAGAGCTTGCATCATGTATTATATCCCTAAAAGCAAGAAAATGATCTTTTAAAATACACATATCCGGCTAACTCACCAGTCATCCCAATCTACAATTCTGGCTTTCCTGAATTTCTGTCTGCCCCAGCTTGGGCTGAACCTGGACACTATCCCATTTGAATTCTTTTTGTGACAGTGACGTGGTTTTTAACATCCCTCTCCAGCCTCACTCCTGATTGGCCACATCTGGCCAATGAAGCTAAGTGTGACTTCAAGGTTTGGTTGGGTGTCACAAACCCTTTCAGAATTAGGAGTGGCTGAGCTCTGACACGGAGCACATTTTTCCTCAACAGTCCATGTTTCTACTGACTTCTGTGGCCTGGGAGAGCAAGAAAAGTGGAACGTTCAAGACTTGGTCTAGTAAAAACCTGTGCAAGCAGATTGTTAAATGGCTTTCACGTTTTTGAGTAGTTGAGGGAGTGTGTATAGGAGGAGGTGTCTTTGATGCTGCATTAACAAATGAGTGTGTGATCTGCCCGGTGGTGGGGCAGCCATTGAGATAGGTGGCTCTTGCTCTCTTGGGTGAGAGTGAGAGAGGGGAACTGAGCAGTCACATTCAGATGTTTTAAGTGGAATGGTAGCAGAACCCTGAGTATTGGGCTGTGTGAAATATGGGCACATAATTAAATTTAGAGGGAAGTGATCCCTAAGTTGGAACCTGAAGGATGCTGATGGCAGTCAGGTGG